ATAATATTTTTTTTTTTTTTTTACATTTCAAAGTAATCGGTTAATGTATGAAAAGAATTTGGTTAAGTAATCCGATTAGATTTTTAATTTCTTAACAATAATAACAGATCTTTTCGTTTATTTTATTTTATTTTATTTTTTATTTTTTTTCTTTTTGCAATAAGAATAGTTATGAATTTAATCAAATTATTTCAATACATTAACCGTTTACTTTAAAAAATCAATTGTTTCAATAAATTAACCAAATTTAGAAAGGTACTATAATAATAACAGTTGTAAGGAATATATTTAAATGATTATTTAAAAATTTTGTAAAAAATAATAAATGATTATTTAAATATATTTAAATGATTATTTAAAAAATTTTGCAAAAAATAAATGATTATTTAAATATATTTAAATGATTATTTAGAAATTTTGCAAAAAATAATAAATAATTATTTAAATATATTTAAATGATTATTTAGAAATTTTTACAATAATTTATAATTTTATTGTTAGCATTAAAATAATTCCTATCAATTTATCAAAAATTTCTCGTCTTCTTTTATTTTATTTAATTTTTTTTGACTATTTATTGATTAATAATACCATAAATGTATAAATTGCACAAATTTATATTTTATGATAGCAAAATGTGAGAAAAAAAAACAGGCGAGAAATATTTTTTACCCGTATGATTTGAAAAGGGAAAAAAAAATCTATATAAAATTAATTGTAAATGAAATTAATCTAAAAAATGAATTAAAATACTAAAATTAATAAAATCCGACAAAGATGTAATTTTGAAAATTTCATAAAGCTACCTCTTCTTTGCAATTTTTTCTTTTTTTTGATAGTTTTTTAGATTAGGAAAAATTGGCACAAATTTGGTGCAATATATGCAAAATTTTCAAATGAAATTTAACAAATATATAAATTTGGCGCAATTTTTTTGGGTATAAAAATATATTTATCAACAAGTACATAAATCAATTTTCCAACTTTTAAAAAAAGTAGAATTTGACAAATCTGTTTGATAAAATAACTTTTAGAAATTAAATAAAAAGAAGAAAATAAGAGAATAATGCTGATTTGAATTAGAAATTACGCGAAATCAATATAACTTAGGTTAACCTTAAAAAATTAAAAATAATCATGAGGAAAGGGAAACGAATAAGATAGTAATTAGGTGAAATAAATGATTATGATAAAATGAGATAGCAAATCTTTCTAATGGATAATAAAAATAATTAATAAGCATTTCAATGTTTATAATAATTCAAAAAAAAAAAAGAAAACAAATATTATTGAATTTTTTGGTGCTCAAATTAAGCAAAAATTTCACATTTTAAATTTTAAACAACAACAACAAAAAAGACAAAAAAAAAGCTGAAGACATAAATAATCATTACAACAAAGGACAATTTAATTATTTAAATGCATCATTTCTTGCACCATTTCCAATATTCACCTCATTACCATTATATATTGCATTCGAATAATCATATTTAAAATAACCTAAAAATGGCAATTAAATTAAAAGAAAAAAACAATTCAAATTTATTAATTCCTTTTTTTTTACATATTGGTGTCAAAAAAAAAAAATAAAAATACTATTTTTATTATTTAAATAACCGAAATATCATGAATTTAAAATTGAAATTTAATACGGCTAAAATAATATGACTTTATTATATGGCTAAAAAGGAAAGAAAATTACTTTTAATACGACAAATTTAACCACAACGATAATTTCTATTAGTTGAAGATTTTGCTTGCACATTTATCACAAAAGATCAGGTATAACTAAATTAAGCTAATAATTGATTTGATTTATCTACTAGAGTAATTATTCCGAACCGGTATATCACGGGTAATCCATGAGAATTAAGGCAGGTACAGTAAGTGGAAAAATAAGCCTTGATTGTTTCTTGTTAATGTTTGTTAAATTAATAGTTAAAAGTTTCCATTAATGTTTATTTTCAAATCAACAAAATTTATTGTCTTTAAATTCTATGGTCCTGCTAAAATGAAAAAGTCAAAATGGTCATTGGTCAAGATCATTATTATACCTAGGATATTACCATATTTTTGAATGGTAACTTTATCGATATGATATCCTCATGTCAATGTGCTAGCAATTTGCTATATTAACTGATGCTAACCTATGTACCGTAATATGTATCGTACTAGAAAGCTTACTACAGTTCATGTACTGTATTACAAAAACTTACTGTGACCAACGTATCGTAACTGAAAAGATTACTGTAACTTATGTATCGTAGTACAAAGTTACTCTGATTGATCCGTGTACCGTAGTACAAAGCTTATTGTATATGAAATTAAATTTCTACAATGATAACATTCAATAAAATATCGCAAGAATAAAAAAATAAACAATTAATTTGTAACAGTAAATAAATTAAATTTTTGCAAAAATTTTTTCATCGAAGAAAGAAAAAAAGAGAATGTTTCATACCTATTTGTTGCAAAAATTTATTTCGATCATGGACAAACGATGTTGCTGCACCAATAAACAATAAAACACTAATAATTAATGCAATATTAGGTATGTAAAAATGCTTTAATTAATGCTTGAAAACATGCTGCTGGACTATTATCAGAGCCTCGTATCCAATCAGAAACCTAAAATTTTAATGATAATAATTGATTTGTAAAACAAAAAAAAGAAAAACGAAAAAAGGAGCATATGATTGCTTAAAGTGATGAATATATATATATAAAGATTTAATTAATAATTGATTTTAATTGAATGATTACAGTTTATTTAATAATAAGATGGTAGTATTTAATTGAGATTATAGCACTTTATTTGATCATAATTATTGTCACAATATTTATTCGAAATGTTAGAACTAACAAAAATAATATCAAAATATTTCACCGAAGTGACAATACTTCTAATCATTTGTGATATTAATTACAACCTTATGATTATAAAATGATATGGCAATATTTTATTTTATCATAACTATTATCAGAACATATTAGAATTTGGACAAAAACCCACCGATCCAACAATGTATGGTCCAGAAGCATCACCAAATAAATGTGATATTAGAATTTGCCATGAATTTGCAATTGATCGTCGTTGTGGTACTATTATATCCTAAATAAAATGAATTTGTTCAAAAAAAAAAAAAAGAGGAAGAGACTAAATTTTATTTACTTATCAATATACTAAGTGATGATTTCAGAAATAAAATTAATTCAAAAACAAAATTTTTTCATTTCAATATTAATATTGCTAAGAATAGATTACATGTGGCAATCATTTTTTTTTTTTTT